TCAGGATCCCCCCCCCACCCTGTCCCCTTCGCTGGCAGCCACCCCCCCGCCACTTTCCCCAGCCTGGATCGGGCTCCTGGGAGTCCAACCTCGGCTAGGGAAGGCAGTGCGGGGCGGCGGGGACAAGGTGGAGGGGTCCCAAAGGCTTCCAGGCTTTTGCCTGGAAGCCTTCGGGATCCCCCACCTACCCTGTCCCTGCCAGTTTTTAGTCCATTGGAACGCAATAACCAGGTTTTAATGCGTTTCAATGGGCTTTTTAATTTCGCTTTACGATGTTTCCGTATAGCGACGTTAATCCTGGAACGGATTAACGTCGCTATACAGGGGACCACTGTATCCCATATACATGCCAAAGGGCCTATCCCTTGCATTGCAGTCTTTGAGATTCCATCTTTGCTGTACAAGTTTGGGACATGGAGGGCATATGCCATGTTGGCAAATCAAGGGGTCTATCTTCTACTTTGCAAATCAATCAATCAGTCAATCTGCACTTTGATGGACTAGTGTGGTGCAGTAAATAGTGTATATGACTACAACTCAGGAGACCTGGGTTCAGAACCCAAATTGAATTCTACCTCTCTCCTTTGGGTGACAGCATACACAGACTCCAGAGAAAGTTGGATCAAGAAAATGGTTGTGCTGGGAAGGCTAGAGACAACATCTAACTGAAGCGGAGTCACCCAGCAACCACTGAGTTGTTGAACTGCAGCTTGGGAAAGCCTGGTTCAGCTGAAGTTCTACTGAAAAATGAAACCAACTGGGGGATGCTGGACCAGTCATTCCTTTTCAGCGTGATCTGCCTCAGAAGGTTGTTGTGAAGATAAAAGTAAGGGAGGAAGAGAGCCCTTTATGCTACCTTGACCTCACTGGAGGAAAGCTTGGGTATAAACTCAAAGCAACCACAACACAAGGACTAGGTACATGCACAAGCCTTCCCAAAACTGAGCGCTCCAGACCTGTTATACTACAACTCCCATCAGCCCTCAGCAAGCACAGCTGCTGGCCATCTAATCAACAGAACCCAGGCTAAGAAAAGTTGGTCTACACCAATAAATTTAAAAATCAAAAAAGTGTCCCTGGTTGCACTACAGCACACTTTCCCTCTCCTTCTTTGACCCATCTAGCTCGCTCTCTCCCTGACCCAGACATCACTGCTCTTCCTTCAGATGGAGACTTCTCTTCCTCTTTACACATTCCCACTCCATAGCAGTGGTGTAAACTTCCCTTTCTTCTCACCAGCTCTAGCTCTCATTCATTTCCCAGTTCTCCCTGCTTTGAAAAAAAATAAACTTTAACTCCATACATGTATTTGTAGAAGATGGTTCAATCTTTCTGCAACATAAGAAGATAAGAACTTATCATTTACATTGAACAGCTACATTGGGCAATATAAATTAAACTGAATATAAATCAAAATTCTCTGTTGATATTTTCACCAACTGCCATCTGCTGGCAAAGGTTTTGGGAACATTCACTGCTTCTCATATTAGGCAAGAAACTTACAACTTCCCTGACTTCCTCATCTGCCAGCATGTGTTGGCTTGTGCAGAAAAGGGGGACTTCCAAACTTCTAGAATCACCTTGGACCCAAATATTAACTCTCACTCGGGGAGCTGATTCCAAAAGAGGCGTTTGGAGATTCCCATACAGGATTTACTGCACACTTCCTGCCAAATGCAACCCCTGTTGCTATGACAACTGCCTCCTGTTGCCAGGCAATGAAAGGGAGTGGTAGGAAAGCTGGTAAAGAAGGGGGGGCAGGAATTTTTGCCATAGCAACTCAAGAATATGAGCCCTTCCCAGAACACTTTTTAAAAACTCACTCTTCTGTTTTGCCAAATGAAGAGACAACATGCTCTTATCAGACTTGTAAGAGAGTTTCGGCAACTAGATGCTACAGGAAAATAGTTGATTAATAAATCCCTGAAGTCATGACTCTAATAGGATTTTTAAGGTAGAGATATTTAAGGAGTGGTTTTACCAGTTCCACTCCCCCAGTAAGTTTCCACGGCCAAGCAGAGATTTGAACCCTGTTCTCCAGAGACCTAGGCTGTCACTCAAATCATGACTACCAGTCACAAAAGCCAAAACTTCCCATCCTTTAAAGGAGTCTTCCTCAACCTGGTACTTGGCCAGCTTGGATTCAAGATAGGAATTCAAGACCAGCTAAAGGAGTCTTCCTCAACCTGGTACTTGGCTAGCTTGGATTGATAGGGATTCAAGACCAGCTTATCTTTGGAGGGCACCAGGTTGAGGAAGGCTGCCCCAGAATCCAAGAATCCTGGTTTCCAAAATGTTCCATTCTGAGAAACATTGCAAGATTCATTTGGGGAAGGAGTTGTCTCAGAGATGGCATTACCTAGTTTCCTGCCCCAGCTGTAGGTAGATGGCCACCCCATCCCCTTGATCAGAATTCTAGTTTATTTACACGGTACAAAAGGTAGACTGTGCTGACTTCATTGGTAAGGCCAATGTGAGGTCATAATATAATATCTGGAAGGCTTGGCTAGAAAGAGTACAGAAAGGATTAAATAAGGGAGACCCAGTTTATGAAAAATGAGGGGAGTACATAGACAAGTATCAGTACAGAAGACCCATTCATATATGGAGAGCCAGTTTATGAAAAATGAGGGGAGTACATACACAAGTATCAGTAGAGAAGACCCATTCATATATGGAGATATTTTTTTTTAATTTATTAGATTTATACCCCGCCCATCTAAACTGAAGTCTATTCTGGGCAGCTAACAATAAAAAATGGAATAAAAACAATATAATAAAGTAAAAAACAACAATAGTAATGTGGCACAAGACAGGGAAAAGAAAAAAATTCAAGTGAAAGCCTGCCTAAAGAGCCAGGTTTACGTTTGCTCTTAAAAACACCCAGCAAGGGAGCCAGACAGATCTCTGAGGGCAAACTGCTCCAAAGTCGAGGGGCCACTGCTGAGAAGGCCTGGTTTCTTGTTCTTTCTCTCTGGGCCTCCCTCGGCGTTAGGCCCCTCGGCTGCCCTTCTTGGTTAGAACAAGTGGTTCAGGTAGATATAAGCTGCCCTTCTTGGCTAGAACAAGTGGTTCAGGTAGATATAGACGGCACTCTTCTCAGCCTGCCCCAGTATGAGAGCTACATTTAATGCCAATACTATGGTGTTATATCCTCTGTCCATATGAAGACTGCAGCCAAGTGATCAGAAGAAGACTGAAGCTCAGGAGGGCAACTATGAAGGAACAAGAAAAGATTCTTAAGAATCCATCTATACTGTGATATGCCTGCTAAATACTAATAAATATTTATTTCCTATTGTTTTTTTTATTTACTGTAGTTATATCTGATCTTTCTCCCAGTGAAGGGATGCAAGGCAGTGAACACCACATCAAAAGCATGGTATGAAAGCTGGACCGTGAACCAGGTGGACAGGAGCAGAACCTACTCATTTAAAATGTGGTGTTGCCAGGGATTTTATGGCTGCCATCGACTGTCAGAAAATGCATCCCAGAAGTCTCAGCAGAAGCAAAAATGACTAACCCCGAAACTATCACACTTCAGGCACACCATGAGTACCTAAGACCTACTGAAAAAGACAGTAACGCTGGGCAAAGTTGGAAGCCACAAGAAAAGGAATTGCCTCAATAAAGAAAGCTGTGACCATTTGTTTGCAAAACGTGAGTAGAGCTGTTAATAAAAGGCCCTTTTGGAAGCTATTAAGCGGTAAGGTTGCCATAAGTTGGCAATTACATGGCAATACGTAACAACAAGATTTACCCTGTCATACTCGTTTATTTTAACCGTCTGTCCAAAAAGTGCTTCGGAGCGAAACACTGACCTCCTGCCACCCGCCAGCTTTATTCT